TCTGTAAAACTGATGCAAAAATTTATTCTAAACCTAAAAAATATTCTCCTTATTTGTGAATTTACTCATGTATAAAAGTGATTTAAATCACTCACGTGCCAAGGAAATACCATGAAGTCATTAAGCATATTATTTACAAATAACAAAGAGAATGTGAGATCCAAAAGCATATGTAACACATCTACATAGGCATATAAGACTAGAAAGAAACAATAAAATACTAATAAGGATTCTCTCTGGGTGGCATAATGATGGATGAATTTTTTTTTCTTCATACTTTTCTATATTTTCCCAATTTTCTAAAATGAGTATGTATTATTTTTAAAATCATAAAAAAGGTAGCATTTAAGAATAAAAAGTTTTAGAATACCATGCAATTGGGCTAAGAAACTGACATCACCAACAATATTCCCCTACTAGGTTATCTGTGTCTCTCTCCAGATCTAGAGCACCGTGCTAACAGAAGCCAGAGATGTAATCCCTACATGAGTCAACCACTTAGCAACTACATCCTTTAAGCAACTTAAAGGCAGGGATCGTGTCTTACTCTTTAAAGTCCTCTCCCCAATTTTTTTTAACTAGAGTCCACAACCACATATGACCTTAATCACAAAATGATCCAGATAGAAATTCATCACTGATACTGAACAAACTTAAAGCAGGAGCTACAAGTTATGGGATGTAAACAGAAATCTGGGAAGTAACAGGAAAATAAAACAATGTTATGTGTCATATATTGTGGCAACTGGGCTATACTGAACAGGCTTATACATTCCCCATCAGTATTTCCCGATTTAACCACTGTGACATGTAACGATCATAGATGCTTTTATCATTAGAAAAGATTTTATTAAACAAGTGTTAAAACAGTGCATTATAATACTAGCACTTACAAATAAAATAAATCTATATGTAGAAAATAGGAATTTTATCCCTTGTTTTCTGAAGTTTTTTTAATTACAATAGCCATGTATCACTTTTTTATTAAAGCAAGCCATCTAAATAGACAAAATATACAAGAAATTTAAGAATAGAAGCCGGTTGTTTCAGGGGGTAGGAAGGAGAAAGCAAAAAGTAGTTAGAACCAATACCTTGCACCAACAAAGTACAAGTCACAGGATGGGTAGTGGTAAGAGAAATCTCTCCCAAACTTTGGTATTCTGGTTTTGTAGTAAAAACCTGATTGTGAATGAAATTCAATATATCTATCATTATGTAAGAAGACAATCTGAAAATAAAACAAGAAATTAGTTTGTTTACGTTTCTCGATAAGGGGTTTATTTCATCATCACTAAAACTGGCAAAGCAAGAAAACCTCTGATCTCTTCACCCTCACTTTCTCTCAACACACACACACTCTCCAGTGTGATTAAGAATCAAAACTCTTCATTGGTTCCCTAACACCTCCTTGTATCCTGATAGCTTTTCTGCAAACCTTACTTTCTAACTGGAAGACTTCAAACAAACCTTTCATTTACCTGGCACCAACACTTCATAACATAGAGCTGTACAGTAATCTCTCAATGAGCAATTTCCTATTTCACTTAGGAACACACTTTAACAACCCCACAATTATACAAGGTTTGATAAACTCCTTGTATAAATCTAACTTTAAGCCAGGCATAGTAGCACATGTCTGTAGTCCCAGCTACTTGA